TTCTATATTGCTTTTCTTGAATATTTAAATTTGTAAAAAATAAAATAATTGTGATATTTTCTTCACTTTCCTGGTTGAGACATTTATGATTTATGTTAATGGTTTCTATAAAGTTGCCATATATTTGGTGATTTGGACGAAATCAAATTGACCAATAAAATGGATACACGTCAATTTCATATGAAGTCTATGTTTGACCTTCACTTCTTAAAAATAACTCATTTTCAATAACACATTTTATGAAATTCACAATTTTTATCAATTTTTTTTACCATATATTTTACGAACTTTTATCGACTAAATATATACTTTTCAAATGAGTCACTTTTCTTCTTTGGTTGGTTGAGCTTTATTCTCCTTGAAAGCTTGTGGGTCAAATTGCTTCTTAACTTATTTAATGCAAGCTTTTTGGTTAGGGATATCTTTATCTTATTAAAAAACAATCTAAAATTATAATTTTTTTTTCTCTCTCTCAATTTTTTTTTTTTTTTTTAAATTAAACTAATTTCATTGCTTGTTAGTTGGATGTTTTCCTTTTAAATATTATCGAAATTGTAGAGTATTTACTACTAGCAAGTTGACATTTTCTTCACGGTCATTTAAAATTATTTATAATCAATCAAATTATTTTTTATCCTCACATTTGGCGGAATCCTCAAGTATTATTCACTTATTAACTACTAATTTTTATCTATTTATAATTCAAGCAGTTTATAAACATTCTCCAAACAAAATTCTTGGAACTGAAACGTTCTCCCACATCTAACATTCAGAATCGGTTTCGTTTGAATAAAAAATAATTTTTTAGTAAAATTTGAAAAAAAATTATGGATCCCATAAAATGTGTCGTTGAAAATGTATTTGAAAAAAAACGAGTTTTATGATTTGATAGCCAAACAGGGGCTTAGCATGAAGTAACTAATGAATCATTTTTTATTTTAATTTCTTGTTGTGAGGTGTAAAGTCGATATTGTATTAACCGTTGAAATGATAAACCATTTCTTAATTGTTTATTAGTCATTTACGTGTAACCCAACTAAGAAGATTTGTATAAGGCTGTGTGAAGATATGGATTTAAAAAGTCTATCATTGCTCCCTTCACCAAA